GAAGGGGAAGCTGTCAAGCCTCTGCTGTTAGCCACACTGGCCCTGGGGCGATAGGAACTCCAGCAGCGACAGTGAGAGACAGACCTTCGCCTCTAACTTCTACGCTGTAGAAATGAACTGAGGGAAGATGAGGAGGAAGTGCCAAAGGCACCTGGAATACAGAGGGGGTTTCCCTGAGTGGCTCAAGTAGTTTGCAATCGGCTGCTAACCTAAAGGTTGGCAGTTCGAACCCACCCAGCAACGCCATGGAAGAAAGGCCTGGTGATCTGCTTCTGAAAGGTGACAGCCAAGAAAACCCTATGGAGCACAGTTCCACTCTGACACACATGGGGTTGCCATGAATCGGAATCAACTTGATGGCAACGGGCTTGGTTTTGTTTGGGTGTTTTTGGAGATCCCAGGCAGAACCGGTACCTGTCTACCTGAGGGAAGCCCAGAAGACGGCCACCCGGTGAGGACTTCACGCCCAGCGCACCTGGCAGAGCCGCTACCACCGCAGCACGGCCTGGATGACATAGACTAATTAAAGAAAGGAGAACTCGGAAAACGGGGAGGGAGCTGAAGACAGATGACTGTGCGGGGGGCCGGGTAGGGGGAACAACCACTGTGTTCAGAGTCAGGAGGCGTGAAAATAAATGTTGATCGTTCACTTACCAGCTTTGTAACCTCAGGCAAGTTACTACTGAGGCCTGTTTCCTCACCTGAGAAATGTGAATAACAGGCCTCCAGTCACAGGGAGGACCCTTGTCAAAGCTGTAATTAACTGTATGTGTATTAGTACCTGTACCACCCACAGCAAGAACTGTGCTGTACCCCAAGCACCTACAGTGCCTGGCCGTTGCTCATAATCAATGACTGTTTATCGATACCTGATCAGAAGGTGCCTGTCTTAGTTTGCCAGGGCTGCCATAACAGAAATACCACAAGTGAGTGGCTTTGAAGAAGAGAAATTTGTTTTCTCACAATTCAGGAGGCCAGAAGCCCAGATTCACTACGTGGCTCTAGGGGAAGGCCTTTCTTTGTGTATTTCAGCTTCTAATAACCAGCAATCCTTGGTGGTCCTGGGCTTGTAGACTCATTTGTCTCCACTGTCTTTAGATAGCATCAGTCTTCTCCCTGTATGTGCCTAATCTGCTTTTTATAACTCAGAAGTGGTTAAAATTAGGACACACCCTACACTGATATGGCCTCATTAACATAACAGAAACCCCCATTGCTGTCAAGTCATGGTGACCCCATGTGACAGAGCAGAACTGCCCCATAGGATTTTCTAGGCTATAATCTTTGCAGAAGCAGATCACCATGATTTTCTTCTGTGGGTTTGAACCTACAACCTTTAGGCTGGTCACATAACCCATTGCCGTCGAGTCGATTCCGAGTCATAGTGACCCTATAGAACAGAATAAAATTGCCCCATAGGGCTTCCAAGGAGCACCTAGTGAATTCAAACTGCCGACCTTTGGTTAGCAGCCGTAGCACTTAACCACTATGCCACCAGCGTTTCCTTTAGGCTAGTAACCAAGAGCAAATGTTTGCATACCCAGGGACAATATAACAAAGAAAACCTTATTTCCAAATACGATTATATGCACAGGTATAGGGGTCAGGACTCCAACACATATTTTAGAGGCACACAGTTCAATGCATAGCAGTGCCCATCACAGCACCTGGTATTCTTGGGGTTGCATATGGGCACACGGCCATGAGGAACAAAAGGACAGGAGATCCCCACTGTGGAGGCCTCCTGGTGGTGAGCCTGGGAAGCACCTCCAGAGCTGTGAGCCTGAAGCAGGACGGAAGAGAGACTGGTGGGTGAAGCCTCAAGGGGCACAGGGGAGGCTTCCTCCTGGGGAATGTGGTCTGACTGCACATAGTCACCTCCATGTCCACCAGATGCCTTAGGACCCAGGAGATGAGCGCCCGAGACAGCACAACTCCGGCAGCACGGGAAGGACAGATGGGCGCTGCCTGAAATTTTATTCACAAAATAATAATAATGATGATAAAATAGACAGACAGAAAACCCCTCTTCCCACTGGCCTCCAAAAAGAATTTTTGTTTCTAGTGAGTGATGACCATCATAATGCATGTTATTTGAGGGGGAAATTGCCTGTTTGCTTGTGTATCTTATTAAAAAATCAGAAAGGCATAGATACTGCATTTTCTTGGACTGAGTCCTCAGAATCTTAACTACCCAAGGTGCCCAACATGTCCCTCATTTCTTAAGAAAGGAAACGTTCTCTCCCTGCCCTGGAGAGCCTACTGCTAACACTTTCAACACCGGGGCATCTCCACCAAGGAGACGAAAGCACCTCAGTCCCCACTAACGGTCTCCTCTTTCCCTTGCAGTATGCGTCCAACCGACGCGCCGTCGCTCAGAGCGCACCGGAGCAAGCCAGCTTCCACCCTCATCACCTCACCCACCATCACCGCCACCACCGCCACCACCGCCACCTGCGCCACCATGCCCACCCCCACCACCTCCACCACCAGGAGGAAAGCCTGCACGATGGCCAGGTGATGCCCTGCATGTGCCCCTTGTTCTCCTGCCAGTGGGAAGGCCACCTGGAGGTGGTGGTGTCCCACCTGAGGCAGACCCACAGGGTCGACATCCTCCAGGGAGCGGAGATTGTCTTCCTGGCCACGGACATGCACCTGCCGGCTCCAGCCGACTGGATCATCATGCACTCCTGCCTGGGCCACCACTTCCTGCTAGTGCTTCGGAAACAGGAGAGGCATGAGGGGCACCCGCAGTTTTTTGCCACCATGATGCTGATCGGGACCCCCACTCAGGCCGACTGCTTCACCTATCGCCTGGAGCTCAACAGAAACCATCGGCGGCTCAAGTGGGAGGCCACCCCCCGCTCTGTCCTGGAGTGCGTGGACTCTGTGATCACTGACGGGGACTGCCTCGTCCTGAACACCTCGCTGGCCCAGCTCTTCTCTGACAACGGCAGCCTCGCCATCGGAATCGCAATCACCGCGACCAAGGGCCACTCCACAGAAGTCGAGATGTGAAACACAACCACCCCAACTCGAGGCGCTCGGCCTGTGCTCCTCGGAGCTCCCGAGCCAGGACTCCAGACTCCTTTTTGATGTCTTCCTTCCCTTCCTCTTTCTTCAGTCCTTTCTCTCTTTCTTTTTGTCTCAGGTATTTTGTGGTATTTAGTAATTGTCTGCCGTGGGCAGTACATTATGTAAACATCCTGTGGTTCAAGATCTTGGTGTGATGTTTGTCCTGTTTTGTTGGTAGAGTTTTGTGGAACTTTTTAAGGATTCAGTCAAAATAGTTCTTTCCTGCCACCGCCTATTCCCTTCTCCAAAAACCAAACCAGTTGTCATCGAGTCAATTCCGACTCATGACGACCCCGTGTGTATCAGAGTAGAACTGGGCTCTGTAGGGCTTTTAAAGCTGTGAACTTTTGGAAGCAGGTCACCAGGCCTTTCTTCCAAGGGACCTCTGGGCACATTTGAACCACCAACCTTTTGGTTAGTAGCCGGGCACTTAACCATTTGCGCCACCCAGGGACTCCTTGTCTTTGCCCACTGCTTCCCAAATGAGCAAAAGCCACCAAGACCATCAAGCACTGTTAGGGTCCAGAGGAGAGGTGTGCAAACCCTTGCTTCCGTCTCTTTTCCGTCGCATTCAGAGTGAGCTAAATCTGAAATGTGTAATGATGGGGTTTGGGCAGGGGGCCTGGCCAGCTCAAAGAGATATCAGATTTCAGACCAAGCAGACACAGCTCTGACAACTTCGCAGGAACCTCAGGGTCCAAGCTGAGCTGCACAGAAATGAGAAGTCCCCTGGCCTGGGCAGGGGCTGGGCTGGAGGAGCCACCATACGGCCAGGCCTCTGTGTGGATCCCAGGGCCCGGGGAGGAGCCAGACATTGGCACTTCTCCTGGCAGCTCCCATGGGGTTGTTCCAGCCTGTGCTATCTTTTCCTGCTGTGGAATCAAAGTCCTCCATTTGTGGAGGTCTCTTGAAAACCCCTTTGCCCTATGGTGAACAAGTAGCAGAAAACGATGGGCAAGACGTGGGGGAAGAGAAGTAGCAGAGAAATGAAAGCATAACATTAATCTGCCTCTGGGAGGGCATTCTCTCCTCAGAGAGTTTTATGATGAAGTTATTAAAATCTATCAGTCTTTTCACTGGGGTGGAGCACTTTTATATCATGCAAAAAACCCAGTTTGTTCCTAATCCTTCATAAACCAGAACCACGACTTAGCAGGAAGTGCGATGAACTCAGACAGCTGCGCCCCAAACCTCTGACATGCAGGTTACTTGCATACCTGGGAGGGTCTCCTTCCCCTTATTTACTTTCTAGAATGCTCTGAGGGTCCCATTGAGCACATAATCGTTATCATTGGTCAAGTATGAATTCAGCACCCTGTCACAGTTTAAATGAAAAAGCAACAAAAATTCTTACTGCTACTTGGGCTGATTTCTCTTGTTTGATTGTCAAAACAATTGCCAGCACCTTCTTTGTAAAAATCTCTCGTATGTTTGAGGAAAGTAAGCATGTTTCGCCAACATGGTCTTTTCTCAGTGGAGTAACTTCAGGCCTTCCGAGGAGGACCTCTTGTCCCTCCTCTTGGTCATTTTTGTCCCCACCCCCACCCCGGCCACTCTCCAGACTGTGGAAGCATGGCACCTGAGCCATTAGAGCCAAATGGGCCTGTGGCCAACTAGCCATTGCTCTCTGTGCCCCATTCCAGCCCCACAGCCCTCGCCGCTGGGTCCTGGCAGGCCGCCAAGGGAATACTTAATTTCAGACAGACTGCCCTGGCTGGCCATCAGCAATCCTTCCTCCACCAAAAAGAATTCACCCTGAAATACCCTTCCCCCAACAACTGGATAATTCTCCATCCACCTTTACTGCCAACCCATACTGCAGCAACAGAAAGCCTGTGACAGTTGATAAAAAACAAAAACAAAACTTAGTTGCTGTTGAGTCAACTCTAACCTACAGATGTGTGTCAGAGTAGAACTGTGCTCCATAGGGTTTTCAATGGCTGATTTTTCGGAAGTAGATTGCCAGGCCTTTCTTCCAAGGTACCCCTTGGTGGACTTGAACTTCCAACCTTGCAGATAGCAGCTGAGCACATTAACTGTTGGCACCACCCAGGCACCCTGAGCTAGTTGATGGAAGATTTAATAACGCAGCCACTTTTAGTCACACAGTAAACTCTAGGACCCTGGAACAGAGGCTTTGTTCTACTGAAGCCCTGAGTGTCGCAATAAACGTTGCACTCCAGATGGAGGCCAAGGTCAGACTCAAAGTTCCAACGAAAGCCTGCTTGCTCTCAGAGCCATCCGAGCATCCTTCCAGGGCACCAACTACCCCCCCTCAAACCACACGGATGGCTCAGGAATGGCCTGCGGCTGGTTAGTCAGCTCTGGTGGAGGCTGGCTTGACTCCCAACTTTATCCCCAGGCCCTTTCCAGAGCCTAAGACCTCTTGGACTCTAAGTCTAATACCTCCGCAAGCATCGGTTCCTTTCATAGTTTCTGATACTCAACCACTTTGAGAATATTTGTGTATCATCACAGGTGCCCCAGATAAACAAAACCTCAAGAAATATATAATTAACTCTCATAGGGTCTGAGGGATGCTAGAAACCTCACCTTTGTCTTCTTATCTTGCCAAGTTACTTGGGCCCAACTGGGAATAACTTTGGGTTATTATTACTGCACACAGGACTGTGTTATGAATAAGTGATTCCAGATAGGAATTTGCATTTTTGGTTCCTTGAAGCAAAAGAGGTTTTAAAGGGTAGGAAATGGGTTATTTTCTTCCACCTATGGTGCTCCCAAAAAGGCTGTCACTCCATATCCACATGTGAAGATTTGAAGAGAAAGAACTGAACCAGAAACAAGGAATAGGGATTAGAAAACACTAACAACAATGAAGTGTGTTGTGTTGCGCTTCATAGTTCACAACCAGTATCGGTTGCTATCAAGTCAATTCCGACTCCTGGTGACCCCAGGTGTGTCAGAGTAGAACTGTGCTCCACAGGGTTTTAAATGGCTGATTTTTTGGAAGTAGATAGCCAGGAATTTCTTCCGAGGTGCCTCTGGGTGGACTCAAACTGCCAACCTTTTGGTTAGCAGCCAAGTGTATTAGCCGTTTACAGCACCCAGGGACTCCATAGTTCACAAAGGGCTCTCATATTTGAGTCTCAGGTTAATCCTCATTGCTATCCTCAATATACTAAAAAATAGAGGTTCAGAGACATTCAATGACTTTTTCAAGGTCACACATCAACTGGTTGGGACTAGTCCTAGAACCCAGGTCAACTTACTGCAAACTTGGTGTTCTTGAAATAAGAAGATGTTGTTGTTGAGTGCTGAGTCAATTCTGGCCCACAGCAACCCTACAAGACAGAGTAGAACTGCCCCATAGGGTTTCCTAGACTGGAATATGCATTTATGGGAGCAGATTGCCAGGTCTTTTCTCCCATGGAGCCACTGGGTGTGTTCGAATCACCAACCTTTTGGTTAGCAACAGAGCTCTTAACCATTGCACCACCAAGGCTCCTTCACAGGAAGAAACTAAAAAAGAAAAACCCACTGCCTTGAGCCAATTCTGACTCATAGTGACCCTATAGGACAGGGTAGAACTACCCGTAAGGTTTCTAAGGCTGTAGTCTTTACGGAAGCAGACTGCCACACCTTTCTCCCACAGAGCTGCTGGTGGGTTGGAACTGTCAAGTGCTTAACCACTGTGCCAGGAGGGCTTCTCATAGAAAGAAGGGAGATCCAAATATTCAGCAAAGTTCCCATCTCACCAGTGGACTGTGGGCCTGAGAATCCACTAACTCTCCATCCTGGAACAGTCAGGGGAGCAGAGACACTGAAATGGATTTGTTTTTAAAGGCATCTCTGCTTGAAGAGCTGGTCAACCTGGAAGCAGGCTGGGCCTTAGAGAGACTGGCAGTAGGCACCTGGAGTCTTCAGTGCCCTGACTCTCCTCTGCTGTTCTCTCACCTACCCCCAGGCTTTTCAGAGCCCTGAGACCTTGTTGCCTCATTTACACCAAGGTGCCAGACTTAATGACTCACCTTCTAAGGAGTATTTGCATTTTAAAAGAAGGCCTAGAGAGACAGCAGTGCTTAACAGCAAGAAATGAGTTGCCAGTATTTGAACTTCAGGCCTCCATGAGGAAGATTTTCTCAACCCCCTGAAGTTAAGCCTACAGAAGTGATCAATGCTGAAATGGAGGTCAGGCGTCACAAGAAGATTGTCTTTAACAGTCCGAATCTGCATGAACTTGTACCTAGGATAGACCCCATCACTGCCCGTGGCTATTGTGCAAATTACAGAAATGAGTCAGCATACTACTAATAATAGTACTCATGGCTACCACTTATGAAGGGTTTACTGTGACCTAGTGGGCTACATTCTTTGAATGTCTTATCTAATTCCCATAACAACCTATTATTGCACCCTTGTTACAGATGAGAAATTTAGGCTGGATGAGACTAGATGACTCTCTTAAGATCACAGAGCTAGCCAGTGGCAGAGCTGGCCTTGGAACCCAGCATGCCTGGTTATTGGCTATGTCATTTCTATGAATTTATAGACCCAAAGCTCAAAAGAACCCAGTCATAGAGTCTGAATGGCATAGAGGCCTTTAATTGTGGGGGTCCATCTGTTGCCCTTTCATTTCTCCTTTTTCTCCTTCTTTTGCAAGCCCAAGACACAGTGATGTGCTGGAGTTGACTTGTATACCAGTTGTTAAATGCTTAGGAATTTGGTAAGCTGATTGTCAAACACAGCCACTATTAAAATTTAAATTATATAAACTTACAATTAAATAAGTTATATTAAAAACAAAGGGAATAAGTACTCAAAAGTCATCCCTTCCTAATTATTCTACTGCTTTTCTTATTCTGGATGCTTTTGAGTTATGTACACCTATCATATCTGGTGAACACACTGTACAATGGTGTGTGTACTATAGTACATCTCCCAATTCCACACTTAGTGACGTCACAGTGATCGCTTGAAATCGACCACGGTGGGAATATTTACACCGTGGAAATTGGCAAATGTTTCAAGGCAGGGCTTTTTTCCCCAATGAGGGTCAGTTCTTAAGCATTAACCAGTACACCACTGCTTGCAATTGGCTGAAACACACAGCAGGAGAGAAAGGGGACTTTGAAAGGAGAAGCAAGACCCTGGTGGTCACTCTGATGGGGCACAGATGAGAGGCAGGCCAGCCAAATAGCCAAATTGTTACGA